AAGCCATTTGCACATACAGAATGTAGGCACCCTATATCTAGAAATGAGCAAACCAGTGATATTTTAGGGAGCAGGCTAGCAGGCGGGGCTAGATATTTTGGAAACGTACATCATTTTTTTTCTTTATTTTTTTATGGGGCCCCAAGAGAGTGGGGCCCTAGGCTATAGCTTGTTTAGCTTATACGTAAATCTGGCACTGGCTATGGGCTAGGATCTTGCTGCCTTGAAGACGAGCAGGATAGAGTTGCCCTTTCCTACAGCTTAGGATGCCTTTCACAGCTGACAGCAGGTTGGAAGACAGCAGGTGAAGCTTTTTCTTATCATCATTCCCCCCCCCCCCAGGGCCAATACAAACTTAACCAATTTCTACTTGACTTGGAGCAGTTAAAGGCTGAGTAGCTCTGATTAAGTCAAGCTTGGGTTTCCAGCAGTTTTTGGACTACAATTCCCATCATCCTTCTAGCTAGGGGTGATGGGAGTTGTAGTCCGAAAACAGCTTGAAACTCAAGTTTGGGAAACCCTAGATTGACTGAAAACACACACACACACACACACACACACACACACACACACACACACGGGATGTAACCCCTAGCAAGTCCTAGCACTGACTTGAGTTGTTTTCCATCTGACAGGGTGTAGTGAGGAAGCAGAACTGAGAAACGGCACTTCCTTTGCAAGGGTTGCTTGCCACTGAGAGTCACGTAAGATGGAAGCGCAATGATGTCAAGGGTTGGGGCTAACTTGCAAAAGCTGCAGCTGAATCTTACTTCACAACTGGTGGCTAGAGAGCTTCCTCTGCTGTGAATAGGCTTAATGGGTTTAAGACCCCGCTGGGCTCCTTTCGGGGGGGGGGATATAAATTGAGCAACTAGATAAGGCAGGACATATTAGGAGGTGTCTAGGTGAGACAGCCTAGTGGGCCCAGGTGCGCAGCCTGGGAGTCATTTTGGACTCACAGCTGTCCATGGAGGCGCAGGTTACCGTAATTCTGTGTCCAGGGTGGCTGTCTACCAGCTCCACCTCCTACACAGGCTAAGACCCTACCTGCCCGCAGACTGTCTCGCCGGAGTGGTGCATGCCCTGGTTATCTCCCGCTTGGACTACTGCAATGCGCTCTACGTGGGGCTACCTTTGAAGGTGACCCGGAAACTGCAATTAATCCAGAATGTGGCAGCTAGACTGATGACTGGGAGTGGCTGCCAGGACCACATAACACCGGTCCTGAGAGATCTGCATTGGCTCCCAGTACGTTTCCGAGCCCAATTCAGTGTTGGTGCTGACCTCTAAAGCCCTAAACGGCCTTGGTCCAGTATACTGTACCTGAAGGAGCGTCTCCACCCCCATCGTTAATAAATTATTATTATGTCTCCTCCTCAAGGAAGGAAGACAGCAAAGGATCTCCTTAGCCTGTGTGTGTTACCAACTTGTAACTTTAACTCTTCTGTTGGAACATACTTCATTATTGCTGCCCAAGGTTGGTGGGTACAATCTTTTTTAGAACGAGAAAGGCAGGGAGCAAGATTTTATTTAGATGACTGGTTCTTAATGCAGGATTGGCTATCCTGCGGTCTTCCAGATGTTGCTGGACTAGACCTCCTCCATTGGTCATGACAGCTGGGACTGATGGACATTGAAAGCCCAAAAAGGGAGGCCACACCCACCTTTGTGTCCTTGAAACTTGCTGGTACATCATAGTAGGTCTGTGGCTTTCAAGCGTTGCTGGAGAATCTGAGGCTGAGGTCTCCTGTGAAAGGGTACAACCAGTACCCAATTCTGAAGAAGGGATTTCATTGTGTTGGTCAACAAGGCAGACTTTCCTTACAGTCAAATGCAGCAGGTCATGCATGCAGGACATCCACATCTTTCTGAACAAGATCCTGGCTGCAACATGGCAGCAGCAGCATGGTGTAACAGAGCCAATGGATAGACCAGGAAGAGAGCTTCATTCTCAACAAAGTTGTAGGCTAGAGAACCTGAGTGAGGCAGGAGAGAAGCAGAGCAGGGACCCTAAAGGTTTGAGATCCAAGATGTATGAGATCCGGAAGTGGTGGTGGGTTGCGCATGCGCACAATTCCAACTCAGTGTAGAATTGCAGAGTCAAGGAGCTGTAAGTGTGCAAACCATAGGAGCAGTTAAAAATGGCTTTGTGTGTTTACAAGCTCTTGGCACATGGAGAGCAGTCATCACAGAGATTCCTGTCCATTCTGCAACCCGGTGGTTTTAGTGAAAATGCTATGGTTTCCCTGGCTTTACTGAAAATCTAGCCCATGAGGACATAAGGCAGTGAACAAACAGTGCAAACTAAAAACCAGAGTCCTGTAAAACTTTTCTTTGAAAAATTGCCATCTGTGTTACAAAGCACTTAATATCTGCTATTTTTGTCATCTGAATCTAAGAATTCGGTGCAATGCCTGCTCCTTTGGTTCTCTGACATCGTTGAGGTTGAATGAGGTTGAATGGTACTCAAGAGGAAACATATAGGATGCCTTTCTTTTGCTTAAAACATCAGCAAACACATTATTCTACATGAAACTGCAATTCTGCAAGGTTAATAGCTATATGTTTCCTAAGAAAATGTCTGGGATGATTTCCAGGCCAAATGTAGGATGTAGCAAATCAACAAAACCCTTAGCCTATGAAAATAAGCAGATGCAAAAATGTACCTGAAAAGTAGGCAATGTTTATCCTGTCATCACTGCTTTAAGCTGCTCACTTTAAAAGACACTTCCAAGGATGTGTCCCGAAATAGCAACCCTGCTTGGTATAAAAGGTACCAGAAATCCAGACATTTGGTGTACGCCTAGCCAAGAAACTGGGACGCGGGTGGCGCTGTGGGTTAAACCACAGAGCCTAGGACTTGCCGATCAGAAGGTCGGCGGTTCAAATCCCTGCGACGGGGTACCGCTCCGGTGGGAAGGTAAACGGCGTTTCTGTGTGCTGCTCTGGTTTGCCAGAAGCGGCTTAGTCATGATAGCCACATGACCCGGAAGCTGTCTGCGGACAAACGCCGGCTCCCTCGGCCTATAGAGCGAGATGATCGCTGCAACTCCAGAGTCGGTCATGACTGGACCTAATGGTCAGGGGTCCCTTTACCTTTACCTAGCCAAGAAACTAATGGGGCGAGGTTACCATCTATTCTTTAAATGTAATAAGGGAACCTGAGGTAGGATTAGATAATTGAGGGGCAGGCCCGATATGCCAGAGCTATAGCATGTTCACAGGTGAGCTGCGTCTGTACAGGACCCCTACCCTCCCATGGAAAATGAATGGATTAGTGAATGTGTGTGTGTAAATACATGGGAGAACTCGTGTGTCCCCCTCCCCACATTTTGCTTTAGTCCTGCCCATTATCATTGGGATGTGGCTCCCTATGACTTCCTGAAGGGACTCTGTGGCCCTTGAGCCTCTCTCACCAAAGTAGCCTACCTCTGTTTAAGAATTGGGCAGCTTTTACAATAAAGGCAATATGCACACAAATCTGGCAGCTGCTTAACCTTAAAGCGTAACATCCGCAGTTGCACAGAAATCTTTTAAAAATGAGGTTAAACAGAGTGGAAATAAAAGGACTAATGAAGGTGACCACAGATCTATCCACCCCCAATTCTCTACCTCATGGCATGGGCACACAGGTGGAAAAGTTAAAGGTGCTACTGAAAAGCAACACTTTTTGTACTAGCAACAAAGTCTTAGCATTTAACACTTGGGAGCTGCGTATTAGGACCAGAAGAGAGACTGTTTAGTATAAACTACCTGCAAACAACATAGTAAGAGCCCAAAAGAGAAGCATTTCAGTGCATCCAGATCCCACCCCGAAAAAATCTGTGCGCAAATCTGTATGAACACCAGAATGAATGTATATGTTTATCTGGTGCTCTTATCTCTTTACTGAATAGAAACTAAACATAAGCATCAGAAAAAACATATCCTCTATAATTGTATGTGAATGAGATCTACTTTTTCCTCCTATAGCAGACTCCAGTTGATAAAAGGACATTCAGATGCCTGGGATCAACTGAATACATTTATTTCAAAGCAATTTTAAATATTAAAAAAGTAAAAATTAACACATACAGTACTCAAACTGTCACATTAAACACGTGAGGAGACAAGTGTACTGATGTATTATGATTGTAACATACAAATGAGACTTCAGTTTCCAACTAGTGGCTCTAACCAGATCTGCTTTCTATACATGTTGATGCACTATGTCATAAAAAAATAAATAGCAATTGCTGTTCAACAGTAAAATAACACACCATTCGCAGAACATACTTCCCTCTCCTCAGGGGAAAAAAAACCCCCAAACAAACAAGACTTCCCAAATATGTCATGTACAAAATTGCAGATAGTGGCTCTTAGTTTAAATACAATATTGTACTTAAATCTCAACCGATATATCATACATGGTATTTTTATTCTCCTATGGACTCTCAAATCACCCAGAATAGTCAACTCTTGTTCCTGATGGAACTCATTTTATTTTTTAAAAAATTCATTATACTACTTCAAAAAAGCATACAAAATAATAGACATTTTGACTCTACATCATTTTACACATCTGGATCTCCTTTATATGGGTTGCACTTTCTCTCTCTCTCTCTCTCTCTCTCTCTCTCTTTCAACCAGTGGATTTCGAGATCATTTTAAAATATACTTGACAAAAAAGGTAGATCAGTTTTGTTCTTTAATGCATCTGAAGCACACTGCATTGATGAGCAATATGGAATGCAAAGTCATTTTTTGTTCTGGCTTTCATATAAACAGCATGAGTCTGAGAAAACACTGAAATCGGTAACATTGCAGAGTCGATGCCAGTAGGCTCAGTCACTCACTTGAAAGCTTATATCTTTTTTAACAGAATGTGTCATGACACAGATGAAGCAATAGTTTAAAAACCACTTTCCAATAATAGCTGATAAATATTTTGCTCTTCTTCATGCAAGATTTCTTAAGTTGATTATGTTCTGTATGTTAACCATTTAAATAAAAATAAATATTCACTGACTACAGGTTTGTAAAACATCAAAAGCGAAAGCCTCAGAGTGATTAATGTGAACTTGTGCTTTTTGTGAAATGGAAACCTTTTGACAGGGAGTCACGAGAATCTGCTGTGAAGGAAAAAGAAATTTGGGCTGTTGCAAATGCAATTGTTTAAAACCGGGGTGGCTAACTAGTGGCTTTGCAGATTTGTCTATCTCCAGCTCGAATTGGCTCCAGCCAGCATAGCCAGTGATCAGGGATGACTGTAGCCTAGCAACATCGGGGCAGACACAGGTTAGCCAGCCCTGCTTTAAGCCAGGTGAACCCCGGAAACCACATGGAGCCACACTGTAAAACGTTCCGTGAATCATAAGCAAAACAAGAACATTCTGCTTTGCATATTATAACAAAGATCAACAAATAAATAAATGAAACACCATATCTGAAATGAGCATATATCCTTAATACATTGATCAGAATAAAGAATGTGTTTTAGATGCAAGTGATGGAGGGTGGAAACTCCAAAGCCATCTCAGATCAAAACATATCCTTCCTAAGTTCAGCTCAGTGGTTTCAGGATTGCTGGCAGATTCTGAAAGTTCAACCTCAAGCCATAATTAGGATTCCACAAAAGCAAATTTAATTCCAGATGTTACAGTCTGGCGTCATTATTAAACAGGTGATAATTTGCATGAAAGGTCATCTTTCACTCGTTTTGATGGCAGGGTTTTGTTTTTTAATTATTATTTCTCCAGGCGACAGAACTAAGAGAGCATTATGACTTAATAGCTCCAGTGGGTCGAAGGCTCAAATCCCCCAACAGCAAAGGTGTCTTCTAAATGAGCCAATTAGTTAGCACACACTAGCGCTCAAGTAAACTCATCTTTCAAGTCTGTGTGGCAACCAGATTGTAAAAGGAGTGCACTGCGTGAAAACCTGAAAAAGCTGACAGACACTTGTAACCTTTCTGCATAAACAGAGGTTGTAAGGAGTGGAATATGCTAGTAAGCAGATGGGGATGGGCTGTTTTCTTTTAAAGACCCTGGTGCCGTGAAAGGAAACCTCCAGCCAAAAGTCCCATAAGTGTTCCTTCATTAGACACGAGCAATTTTAACTGAAGACTTTCAGATGGTGTTAGGTGAGGTAAATATCAGAGGGAGAAACACCAACGACATAATACAAACATAAAATGCCTGTTCACACAAACACGCCACAAAAGACTACTGGTTAATCTGTAGCATCAGTGAATATTTCTTTTGTTTGATGTGTACATTGAACACTTTCTTTGACAATACCAAGGAAGTAGATTTCGCAAGCTGTAAAGTGTGTACATTGGTAGCTGTAAACAGGGCTGTAAATGAGCCAAAGCAGTTCATTTCGAAAACTGAATCTAACTCTCTGCTAGTTATCTATTTTAGGAATACTGATTTATTAGAGATGGTAATTTCTGTAGTTAAACAGGACCGGATGAGACCAACCACATTTAGGGAGCTGGTAGTTCATACACACAGACAAAGAGATGTAAGTGCTTTGATGCCAAGGATGGCTTGAGCAAACCCAATAAGGCATGCCAGGTCCCAAGGCTACCGTAATACTGGCAAAGGCAGAGTAACACCGTTATGTACAATACAAGTATAAGTCACCTCGCTGGGTGAGCCGTAATTGAGTTCTTGTTCTGTAACAGCAGTTATATATACATATATATCCACAGTTGTGCACAGAATTACAGGGAGGGAGCAGCTGTTTGCTTCGTGCTAAAAGCCCGTCTTGCAGGAAGGATGTGCAATGCTCAAGTTTCCGATTCGACTCAGTCTGACAAAATATGGACGAAGGATACTGGGAAGACCCCTTTTCTCTCTGGCTTGCCTTCAATGTGGCCGATCTGCAGAGAAGAACAAACAACGTTGGCTCAGAAGGCATTGGCCCCCCGCCCCCAAACCTCCGCATTTGCTATCCCACATGGAGCAATAATGTATATTATGTGCTCAATAGTCAGTAGTTTTATGCTTCGATATCCTCACTCTGAACTTGGCCACTTTTATATGGAAGCAAGTCTAATTAATAGATACCTGAAATCTGGGAAACACCAAATATTTCAGACATTATCCTTATCTGGGTAACAGTTTTATGCGGTTACATTGGTGTGTGTGGTTTTTTTTTTGGGGGGGGGTCCTCCCTCACTTCCCTGGAAAAGACCCTGATGTTGGGAAAGATTGAGGGTGAAAGGAGAAGGGGATGACAGAGGACAAGATGGTTGGACAATGTTCTCGAAGCTACCAGCAAGAGTTTGACCAAACTGCGGGAGGCAGTGGAAGACAGGAGTGTCTGGCGTGCTCTGGTCCATAGGATCACGAAGAGTCGGACACAACTAAACAACAACCTCCCTCACTAAAGGGTTTTGAGCAGGGCTTTACAGCCATCTGCTGAGTTTCAAAAACCAGTTGGCCAAGCAGACTTGCCATGCTAGGAATGCACACCCAAAAGCACCAGTGGGTGATGAAATTGGTTGGGTTTTTTTTTAGTTTGGCCTAAATGTGCAGGTCTGCAGACACACAGCGGGCTCCTAGCTGTTAAGATAGGGATAGGGTTAATACCTTTTTTTCTGTGCAAGGCCTCTTTTGTTCTCGCAGTCATCAACCGCAGCTCTGATACAAGGGTCTGCTTCAGTGAGACGGGGGTAGCCAACCTAGTGCCCTCCAGATGTTGTTTAACCACAACTTCCATTATCCATGGCCACTGGTCACTCTGCTGGGGACTGATGGGAGCTGCAGTCCAACAACATCAGGAGGGCACCATGTTGGCTACCCCCGTGCTAGTAGGATAACACCATGACCTATGCAGCTGCTCTGCTGCAAGGAATCTTGTACCTGAGCCTAGCCCACTTTCTGACTTATGCAGCTTGTGGAGGAGCAGATCACTTGGGTTCAGTCCATTCCCCACTTAAATCTGTGGCAAAATGTGCACTCTTCTTTAATGGAACTGCACTTGATACTTTAATTACAGAAAAAGACTAGCAAGGTTTAAAACACAATTAGTAACACAGTGCATGCTAAAACTATATTGCCGCACCATTAATAGAAGTGTTAGGCAATGCCTGAGTTGTGTGGTGGAAGATTAATTTAATTTAATGTTAGAAACAGTATGATCTTGGGTGTTATTTTGCTTTTCACAGACCTGTAACCACTTAATAAAACTGGATTCGGTTTTTCAAAGCAGGAAGGTACATACCCACCACTCTTGGTCCTCTTCACCTGTCACAATGATAACTTCTCCTTCAACAAATGTAAGCTCATCATCATTATCTGCCTGGCAATCATAGATTGTCTTCACTCGCCTAACTTTGTTCTTTCCCTAAAACGTAAATCACATTATAGCTAAAAGGCAGGAAAATACCAACTACAGAACAAAATTTTAACGTAACAGCAAAAACACCGAATGCTACAATAAGTTTAAACATTTCAAATACTTTAAACCAACAGAGGCCTAAAGCCCTCAAAAATTTTCATGTATGTGTTGAGTAATTTAATGTTTTCAATATTTTTTTTTAAATCTAACACACTGGATTTTGAAAGCTACCCACAGAACATTTAAGAAACAAAGGTCCTGATGTACAGTGAATTACAGAAGAAGATACAGGTGTACCCAGCAAGGCTGCAGCAGGGAATACATCATTTGTCTTGGAGGCACTAGATGAATGCATTTTTATTTCCCCAGATGTTTCCGAAGGGATGGAGAACTTGTGACGCTCCAGGTGTTGCTGGACTCAAACTCCAGTCAGCCTCAGCCAGCATAGTCAGTGATCAGGGGCGATGGAAGGTGTGCTCCAGCAACATCCATAGGATGCACAATGCATACATATGTGATTGGGTGGGGGTTATGTTTTGTTACATTTTTTTTTTTTTGTATTTTTATACCCTACTCTTCACCTGAAAAGGCTCCCAGAACAGCTTACAATGGAGAACAATGGAGGCAGCCCGTGCCACCAGGCTTACGTTCTAAAAGACAGAAAACAAATGGAAAGGAGGATCTGGATCCCAGCCAACAGTATTTATTCCTAATGTCCCATTCCTGACATGTGCAGCTCACCAAGATGTGTAGATACATTACCCTTGCAGTTATCAGAGCAAGAGGATAGAGAGTCTATAATAAATATCAACTAAAACCTTTATGGCCGTTATCCAGGGAGCCTATTAAGAGATTTAAGACCAATTTCTTATTTTCTGGCTGAGTAGCTCACTATCATAATGTTGTGGCAGCAAGCAGGGGGCTGCCAGGCTGAAGAGGTTGGCCAACCCAGTTGCATATATAGATTTTATTTACACTGAAATTTCTATCCCACTTTCCTCTTTCAACTGATCTGCTCACGAATCATGAATGATTTCGGGAAAAACAAAAGGAACAACCCTCACTCACAATAGCCCAACCATTAAAACAACTCATGCCAAATCCAATGATAACCGCTTTTCTGCACAACAGAAAATCCACTTGCACAATGGAACTGGGGAATTCTTTTCTCTGCCCTCCAGCCTCCCACACACCCCACAAAATCTGCTCCATATATGGGCAGGAGAGGAAGAAGAAGCCCTATTGCAGAAACAGACACCAGTTTGTGCTCATTGGATCTCACCCTAAATAAACACATCTCAAGACACGCAAAAAAATAACCCCAGAAAGCCAGAACATAGCAAGGGCAACAAAATCTATCTAGCAGCATTATACATTACTAGATAAAAGGGAACATTTTCAATGCTTTGCCACTGGCAGCTATATAAAGACAATTTACCAGGCAACCTTGGCACTTGTGAGTTTGCCTTTGTGAAGGTGGCTCAATTGAAATATTAGTCCATGTTCTTCTAGACAGGCAGCTCCCCGTTTCTACAGGGGTTGCATTTCTGGTCAAAGCACACATTGGTGGAGCACGCAAAGATCTGCCCTGCCCCCTGTTCTGCCCCCACTCTTCCCTCTTCTGGGTCCAAAAGGACCTGCACATTGGCGGTTGCACATCAATTGGATACACCAAAAATGGTAACCGCCTGCGTTGCATTTTTATAGGGATTAAGGAGCCAGGTTTATCCCCCAGTACTTTCTTTACTTTGGAAACTTAGATGAAATTTATTTTTCAATTTTCACAGTCCTCCAGCCTGTCTGCCTGGCTACTAATCCAGAATGCGGCAGCTAGACAGGTGACTGGGAGCGGCCGCCGAGACCACATAACACCGGTCTTGAAAGACCTACATTGGCTCCCAGTACGTTTCCGAGCACAATCCAAAGTGTTGGTGCTGACCTTTAAAGCCCTAAACGGCCTCAGCCCAGGATACCTGAAGGACTGTTTCCACCCCCATCGTTCAGCCTGGACACTGAGATCCAGCTC